CCCCCCCCCCCCCCCCCCCCCCCCCCCCCCCCCCCCCCCCCCCCCCCCCCCCCCCCCCCCCCCCCCCCCCCCCCCCCCCCCCCCCCCCCCCCCCCCCCCCCCCCCCCCCCCCCCCCCCCCCCCCCCCCCCCCCCCCCCCCCCCCCCCCCCCCCCCCCCCCCCCCCCCCCCCCCCCCCCCCCCCCACCCCCCCACCCCCCCCCTCCCCCCCCCCCCCCCCCCCCCCCCCCCCCCCCCCCCCCCCCCCCCCCCCCCCCCCCCCCCCCCCCCCCCCCCCCCCCCCCCCCCCCCCCCCCCCCCCTTACTACCGGGAGCGAGCCGCCCTGCAGCCGAGCCGCCCGGGAGCCGAGCCGCCCTGCCACCCGAGCCGCCCTGTCGCCGAGCCGCCCAGGAGCCGAGCCGCCCTGCCCCCGAGCTGCCCTACCGCCGAGCCGCCCGGGAGCCGAGCCGCCCTGCACCCGAGCCGCCAGGTCGCTGAGCCGCCTTTCTGCATACCTACTCGACCTGCCCTGCCTGGTGAGCACAGTCCCACTGCCACTGCGAGCTCTTTCCCTAACTGCTTGCACTGCGTCGCTGTCGTCGCCATGGCTACCCCTAGTGTCCTAGCTTTTGACGCTGAGGGTCGCGCCATTGATTTTGAGGGTCTGGTTAGACGACCTGCAGCTGTTCTTACAGTGCGACAGGGCTGACGACCTTTCTCTCTTTGACCTCACCTCTGGCGCCTCTCCTGCTCCTGCTGCTGATGCTGATCCCGCTGTCCGCTCTAAGTGGGCCACCCGCGATGCTGCTGCACGTCTTGCTGTGCGTCGCCACCTCCCTACCTCTGAGCTGTGCGCACTTTAGTCAGTACAAGAGTGCTCAGACCTTGTACGACGCTTGTAGTTGCGCGCTACTCCTCCCCTGCCACTGCTGCACTGAGCCGTCTCATGCTTCCCTACCTCTTTCCTGACCTCTCTGCCTTTCCCACTGTCGCTGACCTCATTACGCACCTCCGCACTAGTGACACTCGCTACCGCGCCGCCCTTCCTGCTGAGTTCTGCGCTAAGAACCCCCCCCCCCATGTACATCGCTCTCTACTACGTAGTCGCACGCCTCCCTGACTCCCTTCGCGTCGTCAGGGACCACTTTCTCGCAGTCTGTCCCACCACTCTCACCGTCGACCTCCTCGAGAAGGCCCTCCTTGCAGCGGAGAAGAGCATAGTCGCTGTAGGTGCTTCTCGTGGTGACCCTCGCACCCCCATCTTTGAGGGGTGCTCTCCTTCCCCCTTGCTGCCCTCTGTTGCCTCTGCTGCTGCTGCCGACCTGCTTGGTCTTGAGTCGGTCGGCGCGGCGTCTGCCCCTAGTGGGAGACGTCGCTCTGGCAAGGGCAAGGGGGGCAAGGGCGCGGGTGGAGCTGGAGGGGGCGGGTGGCGGGGTGGCGGCGGGTGGCGGCGGAGGGAGTGGGGGTGGCGGCGGGGCTAGTGGCGGGGGTGGTGGTGGTGGTGGCGGCAAGCAGCGGCGGAGACGGTGGTGGTGGTGCCAGCGGTGGTGGTGGATGGCAGCGGCGGAGGTGGAGGCGGCGGAGGTGGAGGCAGTGGAGGCGGCAGCGGAGGAGGGCAGTAGTGGTGGAGGAGGTGGAGCTGGTCGGGGTGGTACCCAGCAGCGTAGCGGCGGTGGTGGTGGCCAGCGCTCGCACCGGCAGCAGCAGCAGCGCTCGCGGGACATCCCTTCGCCTCAGCAGCTTCGTGAGTGGTACGCTGGGCGTCAGAGGGGTGGGGGTACTGGTCCCTGCACCTACGTTCTTCGTTCCGGCGATACCGCGCGGCGTTGAGCAGTGTGGGGGTTGCCCACGCCACCCAGCGCTGCTTTGGCCGCCTGACGGACGCTTGGCGTCAGCAGTTCCCTCGGGCTAGTGAGATCCCTCGCTGGGATGAGCTTCTCAGGGCTGGTGTAGCGATCTTTGATCTTGATTTTGATGCTATCCTTACTGCTATGTATGTTGTGGATTATAGTGAGGAGAATGAGGGTTACCGGTTGTTTTCAGCCCGACCCGGGCATTGGTACTGCTGCGCTAGGTGCTTGTGAGGCTGCTGCTCTAGGTGCCAGTGCGTCTGCGCTCTCAGGTACTGGTGAGACTGCGCTCTCAGGTACTGAGTCGTCCTCGTCCTCCCTCACTTTCACACTTGACTCCGGAGCTTCTCGCTCCTTCTTTCGAGACCGCACTACCCTTTCGCCGCTCGCCAGGCCGGTTGCCGGTCTCCCTTGCTGACCCCTCTGGGGGTCCTGTCCTGTCTCACTTCTCCACTGTCCTCCCGTGTCCGGCTGCCCCTTCGGGCACCCTGTCTGGTCTGTACCTTCCCTCGTTCTCTACGAACTTGGTGAGTGGAGCGGACCTGCAGGATGGGGGTGTTCACCAGTTCACTCCTACGCGTCAGAGGGTGACCCACTGCACGGAGGCTCGCACAGGCCGACACCTGGCCACGTTCTCACGTCGGCCGGGGGTCGAGTCTCTACACCCTGACCGTTGAGTCTCCTCCTGTCCCTGCGTCTGGTCAGGTGGCTGCGTCGGGTCAGGTACTTGCTGCTGCGTCCCGGTCAGGTCCTGAGTCTGCCCCCTGTTCTTGTCGCCTCCTGTCTCACGAGACTCTCCTGTGGCACCACCGTCTTGGCCACCCCTCCTTGCCCCGTCTTCGGAGCATGGCTTCCCGTGTCCTTGTCTCTGGTCTTCCCCAGTCTCTCCCTCCTCTCCCCTCCGGGCCAGGACCTTCCTGTGTCCCCTGTGTCGAGGGTCGCCTCCGGGCTACTCCTCACTCCTCCCACTTCCCCCCGACAGAGGCTCCCCTGCAGACGCTTCACATGGATGTGTGGGGCCCAGCCCCGTTCGTGGGCAGGGTTACGAGCGCTACTTCCTGTTGGTGGTTGACGACTACTCGCGTTACACCACAGTCCTCCCCTTGCGCAGCAAGGGTGCGGTCACTGAGGTGCTGATCGACTGGATCCGCGAGGCTCGTCTCCAGCTCAGGAAGAGCTTCGGCTCGGACTTTCCTGTTCTGCGTCTGCACTCTGACAGAGGCGGAGAGTTCTCTTCTCGCCTTCTGCGAGACTACTTGTCGTGCACGGGGGAATCCGCCAGACCTTCACGCTTCCGGACTCACCACAGCAAAATGGGATTGCTGAGCGCCGCATTGGCATGGTCATGGATGTCGCTCGTACGTCCATGATGCATGCGGCTGCCCCCCATTTTCTGTGGCCGTTTGCGGTGAGGTACGCGGCGCATCAGCTCAACCTTCACCCCCGGGTCTCTCGGCCAGCGATGTCCCCAGCCTTGCTGTGGACGGGGAAGGTTGGCGATGCGTCTGTGTTCCGTGTCTGGGGATCTCGGGCGTTTGTCCGCGACTTGTCTGCGGACAAGCTTTCCCCTCATGCTGCTCCCTGTGTCTTCCTTGGCTTCCCCACTGACGCCCCAGGGTGGCAGTTTTTACCACCCCTCCTCTCGTCGTGTTCTGTCCTCCCAGGACGTCACGTTCGACGAGTCAGTCCCCTTCTACCGTCTCTTCCCCTACCGCACCCCTTCCCTCCCCCCTCCCCCGGACTTCCTTGTGCCGGTTCCCCTCCCGGTAGACCCCCTCCCCCCTCAGGTTCCTGCCCCCTCAGGTGTGTCCCAGGTAGACGCCGTTGACCCGGTCGAGGTTACTGGTGACTCTGGTGCTGCTGCGGGTGCTGAGCCTGGGGGTGCTGACTCTGGGGGTGCTGTGCGCGGGGGTGCTGAGCCTGGGGGTGCTACTGCTGGGGGTGCTGGGCCTGAGGGTGCTACTGCGGAGGGTGCGGAGCCTGGGGGTGCTGAGCCGGGGGGTGCTGTGCCTGGAGGTGCTGGGTCTGGGGGTGCTGGGTCGGGAGCTGCTGAGCCTGCGGGTGCTGAGCTGGGAGCTGCTGAGCCTGGGGGTGCTGCGTCTGGAGCTGCTGAGCCTGGGGTTTCTCCTGCTGCTGCGTCTCGCCGGGAGCCCCTCTCTCCACAGGAGCTGCGCGAGTGGTTCGCTCGCCGCTGGAGGCGTGCTGCTGAGTCTGGAGGTGCTGCTGGAGCTGGAGCTGGAGCTTCTTCGACCGTCGAGGGTGCGGGGTGCAGCCGGTCCCGGAGCTGCTGGCCCTGCAGGTCCTCCTGGAGCTGGAGCTGCTGAGGGCGTTTGTGCTGAGCCTGCTGCTGTTGGTCCTGCCGCTGGAGGTGTGGGTGGCGCTGGTGCTGTCGCTGAGGGTGCTGGTGCTGTCCCTGCTGAGTCTGGAGCTGCCGCGCGGCCTCGGCCGTACTTCGTTCCGCTCCTTCAGCAGGTTCTTGGTCTTTCTCCTCCAGTAGAGGGTCCACCGCCTGTCGAGTCGCAGCCCCTACTGGAGCCTTCCTCTCCGCTGCCTGCTCCCTCTCCTTACACTGGTCCTACTGGAGGTCTTGCTGAGCGTCGTGAGCCTGCGTCTCGTCCCGCGTCGCCTGTTCGTGCTGCTCGCGCTAGTGGTCGCAGTTCGCGTCAGCGTCCTCCTCCTGTCCCTGGCACGCACCGGATGTCTTTACGTCCGTCCACTGCTCCTCTGCGTGCCCCTTTGCCTTCTCCTCCTGAGTCCTCTCTTCCTGCGCTTGCGGACCCTGAGTCGGACTCTCTTCGTGCTGCCAGTCCCACTGTCACGCGTCTGCTTGCTACTGTCGTCACTGACCCCTCTTTTGAGTCCACTGCTGCGTCTGCTCTAGTCGCTGAGCTCGTCGACTTTGCTGCTCGCTGTCGTCTCGACTACGCTGCTAGTCTTGTTGCTGAGTCTGCGTCTGTCTGTCCTCCGTCCGTCGGGGGTGAGTGTGCTCTTGGCACAGACGTCCTAGAGGACAGGCAGGAGGAGTTACAGTGTCTAGCGGCTGCTTCACCTCATCTCGCGTCTGTACTGCTTGCCCCTGAGGGAGACCCGGATGCACTAGACATCCCGACTCCGCGTTCCTTACGCGGAGGCCGTAGAGGGTCCCTACTCCTCTCAGTGGCAGGCAGCTATGGATGCAGAGATGGCTTCCTGGAAGTCCACAGGCACCTACGTTGACGCGGTTCCCCCTCCTGGGGCGAACATCGTCAGTGGCATGTGGATCTTCAGGGTGAAGCGGCCGCCGGGCTCTCCACCTGTCTTCAAGGCACGGTACGTTGCTCGTGGCTTCAGTCAGCGGCAGGGAGTTGACTACTTTCAGACCTTCTCTCCCACCCCGAAGATGACTACTCTTCGGGTGCTGCTGCACATAGCCGCTCAGCGCGACTACGAGCTTCACTCTCTCGACTTCAGCACTGCGTTCTTGCAGGGTAGCCTGCACGAGGAGATCTGGCTTCGCCGGTCCACCTGGCTTCACTGGGACTTTCCCTCCTGGCACCCAGTGGAGCCTCCGACGGCCAGTCTACGGTCTCCGCCAGGCACCGCGTGAGTGGCACGACACACTGAGGACTACGCTTGCGGCTCTTGGGTTTGCTCCTTCTACTGCTGACCCGTCGCTGTTTCTTCGCACCGACACTTCCCTGCCGCCGTTCTACATCCTCGTGTACGTCGACGACCTGGTCTTTGCCACAGCGGACACTGCTGGACTCGCCTACGTGAAGTCCGAGCTGTTGAAGAGACACACGTGCACAGACCTGGGTGAACTGCGCAGCTACCTTGGCTTGCAGATCACTCGGGACAGAGCACGCCGCACCATTACCTTGACTCAGTCACACATGGTGCAGCAGGTCCTTCAGCGCTTCGGCTTCACGTACTCCTCGCCTCAGGCCACTCCTCTGCCTACTCGCCACTCACTCTCAGCTCTGCCTTCGGATGAGTCCGTAGAGTCGAGTGGTCCGTATGCGGAGCTTGTTGGCTGCCTCATGTACCTGATGACCTGCACACGACCTGACCTTGCATACCCTCTGAGCATTCTTGCACGCTATGTTGCTCCTGGGAGACACAGACCGGAGCACATGGCTGCAGCGAAGAGGGTATTGCGCTACCTGTGCAGTACGTCAGGCATGGGGCTAGTGCTTGGAGGGCGGGGTCCAGTGGTCCTTACCGGCCACGCGGACGCGTCTTGGGCTGACGACCAGGCTACGCAGCGGTCGTCACAGGGTTACACCTTCAGCCTTGGTTCCGGCTCTGTCTCGTGGCGGTCTACTCGCTCGTCTTCGGTTCTTGATGCTACGGCGAGGCTGAGATCTACGCAGGGGCCATGGCTGCACAGGAGCTTCGGTGGCTCACCTACCTGCTGACTGACCTTGGAGAGCCGCCTCGTTCTCCTCCAGTGCTGTACGTAGACAACAAGGCTATGCTGGCCTTGTGTCGAGAGCAGCGCTTGGAGCACAGAACGAAGCACATTGCTCTCCGCTACTTCCTTGCTCGTGAGCTGCAGCAGCGTGGTCAGTTGCGACTTGCGTACGTGGCCTCTGAGGCCAACACTGCTGATGTGTTCACCAAGGCACTTGCGCCTTGTGACCATCAGCGCTTCTGCACCCAGCTGGGTCTTGTGCCTGTCTTGCCTCACTTGCTCTCCTCTTGACTTCACTTGTACTGTGACATATATATATACCTGCTCTTGCTTGTCTAGCTTATATATATGTCTGTACTCTTGCTTGTGAACTGGCCTTTGGCCTTGCTCTTGTGCTCGGACTGTGTGGTGACTTTGTGATCCACCCTGAGCTTTGCTTTGTCTTGCTTGACTGGTCTTGTGACCCCTTGTTCTCCCCCACTTTGCCTATGGGGGTGTGTCAGAACATATCTATAGCTTATACTGCTGTGTAGGCTGTAGTGGGGTATCCCATAGGGGGTACAACCCAGTTAGGGTTTCATATTTGTACTGCTTTCATTCATAGTTCATTCATTCCTGCTTACTCATTTCACACAGGTCGCTTCGTTCAACGGGAATACCAACTCCAGCGGGAAGTCGTCATCACCGTCGCGAACAACCAGAACCTGCGCACACGACGACAAGGCATAGTTCAACTTCAGTCACGAGAGACAAACGTCATACTGCAAATGTCGAAGGTTTAAATAGCAAAAGGACTCGGCTACAACTTACTAAGCATTAGTCAACTGATGGCGAAGGGCATACACCTCAAAGCAGACAGCACCACTCAAGAGTTTAAGTTATACCACGGGAAGGGCAGTCTCTACATCGGGAAGGCCGTCTTGAAAAATAACGTCTTCGTCCTCGACTTCGTCCCAGATATCGGCACAGCTGACAGCGACGGGATCGTCACTTTCACCTCCTGGACACATCCACTTGATCTCGACCCTGACTTCAGCCATGAAGGCTTTTGGTACTCGCACACCATCCTTGAGGTAGAACGAACAAGAGCATTAGCAACGATTCAACACTCGGCAGCAGCAGAGACAACATCGGCAGCAGCAGAGACAACATCGACAGTAGCAGAAACAACGGCAGCAGCAGCGGCAACATCGACACCAATCGCTGGTCCTTCAAGTGCATCGGCTCCAATCGGCGACGACACTCCACCGACTCCTGCGCAGCAGCTTAACCCAATACCACGAGAAGAACATCGAAGCGCAAACTTTACTGCAAGCTTCTACTCCAACTCCGACTTGTACCGTCGCTCACCCGGACATCGAGCTGGCGAAGACATCTGGCACGCACGAATGGGACATCCAAGCAACACGGTGTTAAACAACACAATCAGAGCAGGAGTGCTCGACAAAGATTCACTGCTCCTAACCGGCAGAAGCGAACTTCGACGAGCTCGTGGGAACATGATTTACCTGCCCCCGAAGTTGACTAACACATCGGCCATTCGCTTCTCACCACAACCCCAGCGCACCAGCTTACGCGCCACTTGAGAAAGTGTACAGCGACATCCGTTACAATCGCGAACCTGGACAAGGAGCATTCAGCTACACCATTACGTTCATCAACGCCGCTACGCGTTATGTTTGGTACCTTAACCTTCCTGTGAGGATCTAGGATCGAGCTCAGAAAAGAGAATGTGAATTGAATCGAATTGAATGATCACCTGGGTACAACACGAGGCTATATATAGGCTCGACACAAGGCCCCGTAACCAGGTGTTACACGAAGGTTCCGCGGGCCGCGTAGCGTCCCGAACAGATCCTTACCGAATTCGGTAGAAGGCAATTCGGTGGCAACCGAAAAGCCAGAATTCGGTGCACGCAACCTAGCTCGGTGCTATAACTATAATAAAATATAGGAAAGCACCTAGCCTAGGAAATCAAGCAATTCATGCATGCATATAATTATCCTATGCTAGAAATAGCATAATAAAGTAAAGGCAAGCAAGCATAGCTGGCCTAAGCCGTCGTACTCTCAAAGCTGGGTGGCGTGAGATACACCCTGCTTGACAAGATAGTCCTTGAGAGCACGGCGTGCGTTGCCCATATCAGCTTTTGCAACCCAACTGTCCTCAGTGGGGTCGTATCCCTTCCAGCGTATCAGGAACTCGAGGGTCTTGCCGCCGCGGCGCCGATGAGTAAGAACGCGCTCCACTTCGTTCTCGGGTTCATCCTGTACGAGAACCGGTGGTGGTGGCGGTAGCTGCCGTCCCTGGAACTATTGGTTGGGGTCCTTGTAGGGCTTCAGTAGCTGGACATGGAAAGCGTTGTGAAGCTTCCATGTATCTGGTAAGCGCAAGCGGAATGTAACTAGTGTCACCTGTGCCTCAACAAGAAAAGGACCACAGAAGTGAGGCCGGAGTTTGGATGGGAGGTGAGACAGGTTCAAGTTGCGCGTGTCAAGAAGCACCTGATCTCCGACTGCTACTGAGTGATCTCGTCGCTGACGATCGGCATACTGCTTCTGGGAGTTCTGCATCGTGGTGAGACGTCGCTGAGTCTTCTCCCATAGCTGCTGCATGGTGGTGACGAAGTCATGTGCGGCTTGGACGTGTGCCGGTGTAGTTGGCTGCTGTGGGGTGAGTGGTTCCCGTCCGTAACACAGAAAGAAATGAGTTTTCCCTGTGGCCGCATGTGATGCGTTGTTGTAAGCGAACTCTAGGGTCGGTAACTGTGTGTCCCAGTGGCTGACGTCGTCCTTGCAAGCTGTGCGTAGTAACTGTTCAACCACTTGATTGAGTCGCTCTGTCTGTCCGTCAGTCTGGAGTGGTATGCTGAAGACATTGCAAGCTTTGTCCCCAACAGTCCCATGAGCTCCTTCCAGAACTTACTGGTGAATTTTGGGTCCTCTGTCTGAGATGAGTGTAGCGGGGATGCCGTGGATGGTGATGATGCGGTCGAAGAAGAGTCGAGCAGTTGCTTCAGCTGTAGCTGTGGCGTTGGTCGGTATGAAGTGACCCTTTTGGAGAACTTATCGATCACCACGAGGATGGAATCATGTCCCCGTGAGGTCGAAGGAAGTCCTGTGATGAAGTCGAGGCTAACGACCTGCCATGGCTGCTCCGGTACGGGTAGAGGCTGAAGTAACCTTGCTTTTTTCTGCTTGCTACTCTTCATCCGCTGGCACGTGTCGCAAGAGGTGACAAACTGCTGCATGTCCGCTGCCATCCCGGGCCAGTAAAAATACTTCGCTATCCCTGCTAACGTCTTGTTGCTCCCGAAATGTCCCCGCGTAAGGTACGTCGTGAAACTCCTCCAATAGGATCTGCTGTAGTGGGGCGTAATTCGGTACCCAAATATTTCCTGAACCCTTCCTTACAGCAAGGTCTTTCTCCCACTGCAACAGCTTTTGGTTCTGTGCTGTAGTGATTTCTGCGTCCACGGAGTACCCATGTTGAATAGACCCTTGAGCAGAGGGTTCATCCCGTTGAGCTGGATGCCTGCTACATGTCCGGGGCGGCTCAACGCGTGTGCCTTGTTGTGTAGCCCGGGCTTGTAGACGATGTCGTAGTGGAAGTGAGTTTCCAGGAAGTCCACCCACCGCACCTGTCGTCGTGAGAGCGTCGGCTGCGACTTCAGGTATTTGAGACTCCAGTGGTCAGTATAGACTGTAGTCTTGGCTCCCTCTAGGTAACACCTCCACGCCTTGAAGGCTATGACTATCGCTAAGGCTTCCTTGTCATGGATGGGGTAGTTCAGTTCTGCTCCGTGTAGCTTCTTACTGACGTAGGCGATGGGCTGCAAACCGCGTCCGTGATCCTGCATCAGTATTGCTCCGACTGCTTGGTCACTAGCGTCTGCTTCCACCACGTAGTCCTTGTCTGGATCTAGTAGGATGAGTACTGGCTCTGTAATCAGTGCTGTCTGTAGCTGCTCCATGGCTTGCTGATGAGGCGTATCCCATTTGTAGGGCGTATCCTTTTTCAGTAGGTCGGTCAGTGGCGCTGCTATCTTAGCGTTACTGCGGCACGAACCTGTTGTAGTAGTTGGCGAAGCCTAGGAACTGCTGCAACTCCTTCACGTTCTCCGGTACTTTCCATTTCTTGACGGCTTCGATCTTCCACGGGTCCACGTGTACGCCCTCGGCACTCACCATGTGCCCAAGAAACTGCACCTTCTTCAGGGCGAAGTCGCTCTTCGACAGCTTCACGTAGAACTTGTTTATCCGCAGGATCTCGAACACCTTCCGCAGATGCTCCACGTGCTCCTTCATGTTCTTGGAGTAGATAAGAATGTCGTCCAGGTACACCACCACGCACTCGTCCAACAGGGGTCGTAAGATGTGATTCATCTCCGCCTGAAACGTTGCTGGTGCGTTGCAGAGTCCCGAACGGCATCACCAAGTATTCGTAGGAGCCGTATCTGGTACGGAACGCCGTCTTGTGGATCGAGTTGTCCGCCATCTTGATCTGCCAGTAACCCGACCGTAGGTCCAACTTCGAAAAGACTGTTGCACCACGCAGTTGGTCCAGTAGGTCGTCTATGCGCGGTATGGGGTATTTGTTTTTAACTGTCTATTTGTTCAGTGCACGGTAGTCGATGCACATCCGTAGACTGCCATCTGGTTTTGGAGTGAAGAGGACTGGTGCACCGTAGGGAGAGGTGGACGGGCAGATCAGTTGTCTGTCCAGTAGATACTCTATTTGTTTCTTCATGTCTGTCAGCTCGGTCGGACTCAGTCGGTATGGTGAACGTGAGACGGGTTTCGCACCTGGTTCCTCCACGATCTCGTGCTCGTGGGTGCATGCTTGAGGTACTTCTGCGGGTAGGTCGTCGGGCATTATATCTTTGTACTGCTCCAAGACCTCCTTCACTGCTGCAGGTAGCTCCGAACTCGGCTTCTCCTTCTCTGCTGCTGCCATAACCAGTGCTAAGTAGCCCGTGTTACTTTCATTCACCGTTCGTTCGAACCATGCCAGTGTCGTTTCAGGAATGCTCCCTGTATCCGTTCCAGCTTCGCAGCTCCACTCGTTTCCCGTTGTTGTAGATGCACGCCTTCCTGTTGACCCTAGTCGATCTCAGGGTTGAACCGCTTCAAGAAATCTCGCCCCAAGATGAAATCTAAGCCCTTGATGTTCGTGATCGGCAACGTCGGCTTCCACCTCAGCGCCCCTATGTGCACCTGCAGTGATGCTTTGCCGTGGATGGGAAGTTTTGTACCGTCCACCATCGTTGCCGTGAACTTGGTCTCCTCCGAAAATTCTCCAATTTTCTCCAACGTCCCCGCGGTCGCACATCGAGTGGGACGCACCACTGTCCACCATTGCCCGAAGGCGTCGCCCATTGCAGATTACCTCGATAAGTAGTGGTTTTTGCTGCTCCGAGTAACCGTGGATGGTCTCGCTGATAGGACCGTAGGGTATGTCGAATAGATCATCCCTCGGTCCTACGCTCGAAGCTGCTGACTCCATATCAGTTTTCAACTGAGTTGGGTTAGAAGGCTTTATTCGAGGCCGATTCAGCTTCGTCTTGGTCTGGAACCTTCCTTTAAGCCTTTGCAGCTGTGTAGGCTTCTCCTGTGGGCAATGGGGAGCCTTAACACTATGCTGCGGGGAGAGAATATGAACTCCTTGGAACGCACGACCCTTTTCAACGCTCCGGAGTGGTTTGCCAAACTTCTCACGTACCTTAATAATGTCTGAAGGCTTTTTCTTGGCCTCGAAATCTCCCCTGGATTTTTTTAAAGGCTTGAAAACCTCGAGAGGGAATATTCTTACTCTCGGGGGTGTTCGGCTGGAGTTTCCCGGTCGGTGCAGAGTCTTGTTTCGCGGAGCCTCCATTTTTGTCAGAATGTTATTTGTCTAGCCTGCAGTGGGGTGCTCAATACTGAGTACAACCCCTTAGGGTTTTCTATTTGTGTGTCCTGCTGCTTGCTAGTGCATTCATTCTTCCTTCCGATTCTCCTTCCAAAACCCTAACTCCTACCTCTAGAGCGCACACACCTACCTCCTAGTGTGGGCCTAGGCTACTAAGCCTAGGCCCCCACTACCTACTATTCTAACATGTTATCAGAGCCCGTTCTACCTTGGCCTGTGGGCCCCTATGCTTCCGCTGCAGTCCTTCTTCCTGCCGTGCGCTCGGGGCGTGCGGCGGTTTTCTGCCCGCCGTGCGCCCCGACGCGCGCGGCGGTTTTTCCCCGTCCGTCGAAGCGCCCTCGGGGGGGCGCTGCGCGCTGCCCTCCCCGCTGCTCGTCGCGACGCCCGTGCGGGACCCCGCGCGGCGTCGCCCTGCTCCTCGCGACGTCCGTGCGGGACCCGCGGGGCGTCGCCCCTGCTCGTCGCGACGCCCCCTGTGGGACCCGCGGGGCGTCGCCCCTGCTCGTCGCGACGCCCCCTGCGGGACCCGCGGGGCGCCCGTCCGATCCTGCAGCACCAGCCGCCGCCGGCCTGCAGCAGCAGACGCCGCCGCCCTGCAGCAGCAGCCGGCCGCCGGGCCTGCAGCAACAGACGCCGCCGCCCTACAGCAGCAGCCGCCGCCGGGCCTGCAGCAACAGACGCCGCCGCCCTGCAGCAGCAGCCGCCGCCAGGCCTGCAGCAGCAGCCGCCGCCAGCGCCTGCAGCAGCAGCCGCCGCCAGAGCCTGCAGCAGCAGCCGCCGCCAGAGCCTGCAGCAGCAGCCGCCGCCAGAGTCTGCAGCAGCAGCCGCCGCCAGAGCCTGCAGCAGCTGCCGCCCACCGATCCAACAGCAGCAGCCGCCGCCGCTCTGCCGCAGCAGCCACCGCCGCCCAGCAGCAGCAGCCGCCGCCAGAGCCTGCAGCAGCAGCCGCCGCCAGAGCCTGCAGCAGCAGCCGCCGCCAGAGTCTGCAGCAGCAGCCGCCGCCAGAGCCTGCAGCAGCTGCCGCCACCGATCCAACAGCAGCAGCCGCCGCCGCTCTGCCGCAGCAGCCACCGCTGCCCAGCAGCAGCAGCCGCCGCCAGAGCCTGCAGCAGCAGCCGCCGCCAGCGCCTGCAGCAGCTGCCGCCCCTGGACCCGGTACGCTCTGTGCTGCCCTGCCTGTGCTGCCCTGTACTGCCCTGCCTGTGCCTGTGCTGCCCGTGCCCGTGCTGCCCGTGCCTGTTGCTGCCCGTGCCTGTGCTGCCCGTGCTTGTGCTGCCCGTGCCTGTGCTGCCCGTGCCTGTTGCTGCCCGTGCCTGTTGCTGCCTGTGCCTGGTGCTGCTCGTGCCTACTGTCTGCGCCCTCGTGCGCTCTGCTACTGTCTGCGCCCTCGTGCGCTCTACTACTGTCTGCGCCCTCGTGCACCCCCCCCCCCCCCCCCCGTTTGCGGGTATGGGGTGGCTGGTGTGCATTCCTCCCTTTGCTCCTCCTCCTCCTTCGTCTCCCACTGCTGCAGCTGTCGCTGAGGGGGGTGGTTGTGTGGGAGACTGGGTTTAGGGTTTAAGGGGGGGTGCGTGGGAGTGGAGCTAGCGGTTGTAGCAGCGGGTGTGTGTCAGGGGGGTGGGACTGTTTGGGGAAGCTGCTGGAAGTTTGCCGTACTGTAGTCCGCAGCACCTGTAGTCCGGGGCGCTGTCCCGGTAGCCCAGTCGTAGCCAGCTGTGCCAGCCGCCCGTGGGTCCGTTGCCCGTCTGCCGCTACTTGAGCCGCGGGGCCAGTTACTCCAGTAGTCCGGAGCGCTGTTCCGGTAGCCGCTGTGCCAGTGTGCCTCCTGTTGCCCGTGTGCCTGCAGCTTCAGCCGTCGCCTCCTATCCCCTCTCCCCTCACTCTCTCTCCTCCTCCTCACTTGCCCGTTGTGACTACCACTAGCTTTGCTCATAATTCTTAACTTTAAACTATTGCTTCTTTAACTTGTGCTCAGAATGTGTGGTGACATTGTGATCCACCCTGAGCTTGTACTGCTTTGCCTGCTCTGCTGATTACACCCCACTTTGGCTATGGGGGTGTGTCAGAATGTTATTTGTCTAGCCTGCAGTGGGGTGCTCAATACTGAGTACAACCCCTTAGGGTTTTCTATTTGTGTGTCCTGCTGCTTGCTAGTGCATTCATTCTTCCTTCCAATTCTCCTTCCAAAACCCTAACTCCTACCTCTAGAGCGCACACACCTACCTCCTAGTGTGGGCCTAGGCTACTAAGCCTAGGCCCCACTACCTACTATTCTAACACATTTGTCTCGGCGATTTCCCCCTGTTGCCGGCCAATCATGGCGTTTTAAATTTGCGCCATTATGTCCTCCTTTTTTCGCCATCGTGGATGTCGCACTGTTGTTGCCCTGCAGCTCCGCTCGTGCCTTCTTCATTTTCCAACACGCCAAGAGTCGATGTCCTACTGCGCCGCAAAATTCGCACTTCTCATATTTTGTCGGCCGCTGCTTCGAGTCGATCTTGTCGATATCCATTGGGTCGGCGGTTGTGGGTGGTGCCGATTGCTCTGTGCCAAATGATCGGTTTGGCACGTGGCGTCGTGTCTCGGGTTGATCTCGCGTCAGCGCATCAAATCTCTCTGCTGCACACACCATGTCGCGGTAGTTGTTGTAGTTTGAGGCAATCACCTGTCCGCGGACTTCCATCTTTAGCCCCTCAGTATACGCTTGGATTTTTTTCCCCTTCGGTCAGGTCGGTAATTCGGTTGAAGAGGCTCTCCATCTGCTGCGTGTACTGTCTTACACTGCCGAACTGTTTATGCCGATGAATCTGCTGCCGCGCCATGTAGCTGGAGTTGATTGGTTCGAAACGTTGAATTAAAGCTTCCCGAAACTGCGTCCATGACCCCCTCGCCTCAGATCTTATTGCTGTTGTAAATCCACTCGAGCGCCGGGCCTCGTAACAGTGTCGCTGCGAGCCGAATCCGCATTGCATCGTGTGTCGGGGTCGTACAGCCAACGGCCTCGAAGTAAATTTTCGAGAGTCGCAATGAATCGACGAACGTCAGTGTCTCTCGCATTCGGATTGAACGTCTCCGGTAGCCTCGGACGTGCCGCCTCAAGATTCACTGTAGCCGCCGCCGCTGTTGCTGGGTTAAGTGTCGGTGTCGCCGCTGCTGCTGCTGACGTCGCTGCTGCATTCGCCGCTGCGCTCGCTGCTGCTATGGCGGCTGCCGACTGTGTTCGCGAGAAGCTCCTCTATTCGCTGGAGTGCCGCTCGCGTCTGGTCCAGGCCGGTGTGTAACTCCGTAATTTTCCGTACGGAATTATCACTGTTTTCCTCCATTTGGCGATTTATGGGAAGATTTGCGACGAAAATAAATGAATTTTAGGCGCTGGTCATTTTACTGTGAGTCGAGTTGACTGCAGAAATGACGAGGGCTGATTCTGTAGGTCGCGTTATTCTCTCTTAGTCGAAATTCGCGTCTGATCTCGGCCGTTGAGAAGAAATTCGATCCGACGCTCCAAATTCCAACTTGTTTGGGCGAAATTCTCGAGGCCGTTGAGATTCGAATCGATCCGACGATCGAAATTCCAACTTTCTCGCCACTGTGACCGGAGGAGTGTCGTGAACCGGTTCGAGGGGGACGTTAGAAAATAGCGCGGAACTGGTTTACGTACCCGAAATCGGCGCTTTCCGTCGTCGCCCCCGCGGTTTTAAAAGCTAGGTTTAAGCGGTCGAAAAACTTAGCTTGCAAACAGGCTCTGATTACCAAGTGTGAGGATCTAGGATCGAGCTCAGAAAGAGAATGTGAATTGAATCAAATTGAATGAATCACCTGGACACAACACGAGGCTATATATAGGCTCGACACAAGGCCCCGTAACCAGGTGTTACGCGAAGGTTCCGCGGGCCGCGTAGCGTCCCGAACAGATCCTTACCGAATTCGGTAGAAGGCAATTCGGTGGCAACCGAAAAGCCAGAATTCGGTGCACGCAACCTAGCTCGGTGCTATAACTATAATAAAATATAGGAAAGCACCTAGCCTAGGAAATCAAGCAATTCATGCATGCATATAATTATCCTATGCTAGAAATAGCATAATAAAGTAAAGGCAAGCAAGCATAGCTGGCATAAGCCGTCGTACTCTCACACTTCCGAGCAGGGACTTGGCCTTTGAGGCCTTCGTCGCTGGCTCCTAGTAGCATAACGAGAATCGGGCCTGAAGCTAAAAAGCTTCGAGTCAGACGGAGGAGGAGAATACACCTCACAGAGGTTCAAGCAGTTACTTGGCAGAAAGAGGAATCAAGAGACTCATCTCTCTTCCCTACGCCTCACCCAGCAGTAAGGCGTAGCAGAAAGGATGAACAGGACTCTCCAGATCACCATGCGCAAGCTGCTACGAGGCATGCAACTGCCCAACCACCAGTGGCCCGAAGCAATGGACCACGCTGTCATGCTGCACAACTTGCTCTCGTCATCATCACTCCCGAACAACGCATCGCCGCACCTGCTGTGGACAGGAAAACAGGGCAGCACAAAAATGTTAAGAGTTTTTGGCTGCATGGTACAGTATCGACCCCCATCTGCACGAGCCAGCCGATTTTCCCAGCGCGCACAGTGGGGACTACACCTGGGCGTCGAAATAAATTACAACGCGTGGAAAATTTTCGACGTCCACTCCAAGGAAACAGTAGCTGTCAGAATCCCAACCACTATACCATTGGGATAAAAGGGCTTGTTTAAGTAGCGGGTCAGTGCGCCCATAACCCCCCAGGCCAACGCGCCTGTAACCCTTCCCTAGGATCAATCGGGGATCACCAGTGGACCTCTGACACCCCCCCCGCACTGGGATGCCCGAAGTGCATACACCGGGATTCGAACCCGACACCTTCGCTCTGATACCATGTTAGAATGAGCACGTGATGTCATTTCTCTACGAACGACTCACTCTTCCGACGTACCTTGCCAACCAGGAAGAAGATCGGGACCCCACAGGTGGCTTCCGTGGTGACCGAGCCTTCGCCTCGGCTGCAGACGAAGCTAAGTGGGACGAGTAGAACGTGGATGAAGCCTCGGAGGGAAGCCAGACCTCTCCCTTACTGCTCCGTCGACGTCCAATGGATGACGAAAATCCTCGCGAAAGCGCCAACGCCGAAGTATTTTACCACTTCGTCGACAACGGTTACGTTACACCCTGCAGAATTCAACACCAACGAAGCAGAACGCATAGGGCCCAACTTCATACCTGACCCAGAAGCAGGTGACAAAGCAGCTTATCCTGCAGATACAACTCTTCCCCGCTACACACAGAGTGGCCTCCAGATACTCGGTCTCGTCACCGCGGGTCCACGGCACGGAGATTCCTAAGGAGCCTGCCATAGTTTAGCAGGCTCTGGGTGGGGAGCATAGGGAAAAATGGCGTGAAGCCATTGACAAGGAACCGAAAGCACTGGAGGAACGCAACACCTAAAAAGTTGTTCCCATCGGCGTGGCACGAAACAAGAAAGTACTCACCAGGAAATGGGTATTCCGTGTGAAGACAAAGGCAGACGGCACCATCGACAAGTTTAAGGCGCGCTGGGTCGTACGCGGTTTCGACCAAGAGCACGGACGCGACTTCACCAAGACATTCGCCCCGGTCAGCCGACACACCTCACTACGAATTCTCCTCGCGATCGCCGCCATGAAGAAGAAGAAACTGCGGCAAATCGACGTCGCCCAACGCATTCCTCTACGCACCTGTTGACGCCGAAATCTTCGTCAAACTTCCACACAGCTCCACGGAGAGCCTAACCAAGTCTGTCAGCTGCAAAAATCCCTGTACGGCATCAAACAAGCTCCAAGGTTGTGGCAGCAGTATCTGCACGCAAGAATCATTCGCATTGGATTCCGTCAACTTCCTCACGACCAAGGCATGTATCGGCTCACAAAGGGCACCGACTACATCCTACTGATCGTCTACGTGGACGATTCACTCTACATCGGCTCGACCGACAACGTCACCACCTAGTTTGAAGGGGAACTACAGAAGGATCTCACGCTCACGGTCTCGTCCACTATCACGCAGTATCTCGGCCTCACCATCCAGGAAGAAGAAGGTGCGATCTACCTCAACGCCGCAAAATACGCCGACAACCATCGCAAACGCTTCGCACTCACGCCGACCACCATCTCCACGCCATACCGCTACACGGCAAGAAATTACAAGGAAGGATCCGCTCCACTAAAGCCCGCCGGCATACGCGACTACCAGAGAAAGCTGGGATGCCTCCTCTTCGCAACTGTCACCTGCCGTCCGGACCTATCTTACTCCGCAAGTCAGCTCGCGACCTACCTCAAGAAACCTGAAGCAGAACACATGGCGGAACTCGATCGCGCTCTCCACTACCTCGTCAGTACTTCAACCGTCGGTCTAACCTACCACAAGAACAGGACTATGACATAAACTAATCGGCTACGTCGACGCCGATCACGCCGGCGACTCCGACAACAGACGCTCACGCACCAGCTACATCTATCGCCTCGAGCCTATCGGACCTATCTCTTGGCAGTCGAGCAAGCAGGAGTTAATTGCTCTCTCCTCAGCTGAAGCTGAATATATGGCACTCTATTCAGCCACCAAGGAAGGACTGTACCTTCGCGAACTTCTGGAGGAGGCGAAGCTGGCTCAGTTACCCAGCTTCTCCTTGTTCTGCGACAACCAATCGGCAATTCGCATAGCCAAGAAAAACGGATTCGCGAACAGGACGAAGCATATCGCCCTGCGATATTTCTTCATAAAGGACGAGATCGAGAAGGGGAGACTTGAGCTGTCTTACTGTCCCATGTCCGAGATGGCAGCTGATTACTTGACCAAGAAGCTTGGGAAGCAGAAGTTCGAGTACTGCATGCTGCTAACTGGACAAAGCCACGTCACCAGCAGCGACACTCCCGAAGCGAAGGGGAATGTTGGAAACAATTGATTTAGCGCCTCTGTCGTGTCGAAACACTAAGTCATAAGCGAAGCAGAACATATCGAAGCATCGGCGAGTCAACCCTCGGAGGTTGAGCAACTGCTGGAGGTTACGCGAAAGTCAAAGGTCAGCGACCTTTGACCTGACAAATACAGCGCGACAGCAAGGACAAACAACTGACTCGTTATTGAGCAGTTGATCGAGTCGTCACTGTATCGAACCGCAACAGCAACAGCAAAACAGTTATTACTCTTCATATTCTCTTGTACTCTTATAAAAGCTTGTATCCCTTTTGTTTTAATCAATCTACTTTGCCCTCACATACCAGCGCAAGGTGGTTCACAAACTTCTCATTAAACGCTTCCGCTATTACATTGTCCTACTCAGAATTTGGTCCTGCAAAGATCCTAAGGGCTTTTCTCAGCCCAACAGTCAGCTTCGTCTTGCGCACGTGGCCACTCGGGCCAACACTGCTGATATATTCACCAAGGCACTTCCGTCCGGTGATCATCAGCGTTTCTGCACTTTGTTAGGCCTTGTGCCCAGTTTTCCTCACTTGCTATAGACTTTGCTTGTACTGTGATATTATATTATAGTATATATATATATATACCTGCATGCTTGCTCTGCTAAGTAGAGATCACTGTACTGTTTGTGTTGCATATATACCTCTGCATGTGAACAGGTCTTATGACTCTTTGCTTGTGCTCAGTGTGTGTGGTGACGCTGTGATCCACCCTGAGCTTGCTTTGCTTCTCTTGACTGGTCTTGTGACCCCTTACTCTCCCCCACTTTGCCTATGGGGGTGTGTCAAGTTATATGCCAATGTCATAATAGAAGTAGCAGGCCCTCAAGATGTCAGCGTAAAACACGCTGATTACGCGATTTTGTAGCTTCTGAATTTCGTTTTCCCTGGAAAAATCAGTAAATGCTTCCATTTTGGGCGTGCAAATTTCAGTAAATGTGAGTTTGCCACACTGACGGTTTTGTGTGTTTCTGAACGAGTACACTGAGGATCAGTATACTTCAGTGCGGTCACCCTGAAACGGATTTGGACCGGCCGGGGAAAGGGGGCGGGGGGGGGGGGGGGGGGGGGGGGGGACGCGTGTACAGGCTGTTCCTTCGCGTGATTCACGAAACCCCACACACACTTGGAATCTTCTCACATGCGCTGTATTTACAGCTAGTGCGCGCCGAACCGTTTTGCCGCGCTGGAAGCCAGAATACCAGAGAACGGCTAACCTAGTTCACAACTGCCCAATGAGAACACAGACAACACACCACTGGTGGCAGGGTCCACGCCAACACGCCAGGGATGGCAGAGTGGAGTGGGGGTGTTGTCATCTTGCCTGGGAAGACGGAAACCCTGGCCTGGACCAAGATCCCTCGTCATCGCAGCTCGGGAGAGGGGGTACCCCCATCTGCTCCCTCATTCTGTTCCTGCACTCCTCGTGAACCCCTGCAGGAAGTGATGTTCGAGCTGAAGCAGGAGTAGCTTCTCCCTCAAGCTCGGCATGCTCTGCAGCGCTGAGCAGCCATGGCGGTTTCGACGCCCGCAGGTGACGGCCCTCCGCCCGTCGCAGGCACGAGGCCAGCCGCTATTACTGGCTTAGACTTTTTACGACGCGTTCACGCTGCTCCCGCGTTAGTCCCGCCGTCAGCTCAAGCCGTGCCGTTCCCTTCCACTGGCCCCGAGGCACCTACCATCTGGACGCAGGGCGAGTGTTCGACGCATGTAGGCGCTGCCGCTTCACCTCCTGTCGCTGCTGCATCAACTCGTGTCGCTGCCGCATCAACGCCTGTCGCTGCCGCATCAACGCCTGTCGCTGCCGCATCAACTCCTGACGCTGTCGGATCTACACCTGTCGCTCCCGAACCCACACGGAACCGTCAACGTGTCGCTGCCGGAACTACTCGGCAAGGTCCTCGTCTTAAAAGGGGTATTAAAGTGAGGTACCACCAGACCAAGATCGGGTGGGGTTCCAGTCAAGCTACACCAACGTCCGGTTTGGGTAACTCTTCCCCGAAGGCCCGTCAGCGTAAAATGAAGGGGAAAGCGGTTGAGGTGTCTTCCGATACAGAACTGCCCGACATTGCCGAGGAGAAATACCAAGAGGCTTTAGCTATGTTTAACAAACAATGGTCTGACGACTACCCGTGGCTTGTACTGCTGCAGAATAAAGCAGGGTTCCCGTCAATCAAGTGCAAGGTCTGCATTGCGCACGCCGGTACGGGGACGAACTTCGGCGCCAAAGGAGAAGGGGCGACCGATGTTCAGACTCAGGCGATGCGGAAGCATCAGCGCACAAGGAAGCACCGCCGCGCTGTGCGCAGACAGAAGACAGCCGAGGCGGCTCTCAAAGCAAATGCCCGTATTGACGACAACCCGAATGTGAAAGACGTGGAGAAGGAGCGCCTGCTCGCGCTGTTTCAGACGGCGCTCTTCATCGCTAAGTCCGACGCCCCGATCAAGATGTACGTGGACCTCGTCCACCACCTGGCGCAGCGTGGCACCCCGGGCTTCCCAAAGAACAGTTATGGTGCGTACTATACGACGTAAGTGACACTGCTCTTGTTCAACTGGCAGCGGGTTGTGATGTACTTGCAGCTATCTCTGACCCCACTCGTTGATGCCCGTGCAGGTACGGATTCGAGGAGATAACCGCCGCAATAGCGACATACCTTCGTGCGCGCCAGAGAGAATTCATCAACTCGAGTCCATTTATTGGTCTGACCTGCGACGAGAGTACGGACCCCGTCAAAGGCAAGCACATGATTGTGTTTGCAACCTTTCTACGTGAGCACGCCGTCACCACAGAGTTCCTAACTAACCTCTCCATCGAGAAGTGTGATGCAGCTTCTCTTTTTCTAAGCTCACGGAATTCCTTGACAGTATCAACCTCCCGCTGGAGAAGGTTGCGGGTATCAGCACCGATGGGGCACCTGTGATGATAGGCAACGACACGGGCCTCGTTGGGCGCCTTCGCCTTGAGATCCCGCACGTGGTGGCTTGTCACTGCATCGCACACAGGTAAGCTGATGCTGTGGTGGTGTTGTAGCAGTGTTAAATGTGCAACGTGGCAGTGCGAATTCTAACACCCCCACCTGTGCTTTCCTACCCGTGGCAGGGAGGCGCTTGCTGCAAAGGAGGCGGCTAAGGCACTGCCCGAGCTTGGCATCATTGACGCGGTCATCCGCGCATTGGCGCAAGATCTAGGCAGATCCAGCAACTACAACCGCAAGTTCAAGGAGCTGCAGGAGGTGTTCACGCACACCAACCTCAAGGTCCAGGGGATCCACTCGGTCCGCTGGTTGAGTCGGGGCGATGCTATCGCCCGATTCGTCCGCGTTTTCCCTGCGGTCATCGTCATGCTCGAGGACACGGACAAGACGATGTACCAGTTGGTGACGTCGTTCAAGTTTCATTCTTTTCTGTTCTTCTTGGCAGATGTGCACACGGCACTCAACGCGCTCAACTTGCTATTCCAGAAGCGTTAGGTGAGGTGTTGTATTACGTAGTGCTTTTCTCATCTTCTAAACCCAGTTACTTATCTTTTGTTTCGGTGTACCTACTCTCCCCCTACCAACAGGTTGACCTCACTGCAGTGCACTCCCAGGTGAGGCGGACCATCATTTACATGGAGCAGCGGTACCTGCACTGTGGCCAGCAGTTTGTGTGAAATAAATGACCAGGAATGAAATGACTAAGTCAGGGTTGGGTACAAATACAACCCTAGAAAGCTGTACCCCATATGTGCTACCCCACTATAGCCTACAAACATGCATCAGCTATAATAATCTGACACACCCCCATAGGCAAAGTGGGGGAGAACAAGGGGTCACAAGACCAGTCAAGCAAAGCAAAGCAAAGCAAGCTCAGGGTGGATCACAAAGTCACCACACAGTCCGAGCACAAGAGCAGGGCCAGAGGCCAGTTCACATGCAGGAGTACAGACATATATATAAAACTAGACAAGCAGGAGCAGGTATATATATGTCACAGAACAAGTAAAGTAAAGAAGAGAGCAAGTGAGGCAAGACAGGCACAAGACCCAGCTGGGTGCAGAAGCGCTGATGGTCACAAGGCGCGAGTGCCTTAATGAACACATCAGCAGTGTTGGCCTCAGAGGCCACGTACGCAAGTCGCAACTGACCACGCTGCTGCAGCTCACGAGCAAGGAAGTAGCGGAGAGCAATGTGCTTCGTTCTGTTCTCCAAGCGCTGCTCTCGACACAAGGCCAGCATGGCCTTGTTGTCTACGTACAGCACTGGAGGAGAACGAGGCGGCTCTCCAAGGTCAGTCAGCAGGCAGGTGAGCCACCGAAGCTCCTGTGCAGCCATGGCCCCGGCGTAGATCTCAGCCTCACAACTGGAGCTGAGAACCGAAGACAAACGAGTAGACCGCCACGAGACAGAGCCGGAACCAAGACTGAAGGTGTAACCCTGTGACGACCGCTGCGTAGCCTGGTCGTCAGCCCAAGAAGCGTCCGCGTGGCCTGTAAGGACCACTGGACTCCGCCCTCCAAGCACTAGCCCCATGCCCGACGTACTGCACAGGTAGCGCAATACCCTCTTCGCTGCAGCCATGTGCTCTGGTCGGTGTCTCCCAGGAGCAACATAGCGTGCAAGAATGCTCAGAGGGTATGCAAGGTCAGGTCGAGTGCAGGTCATCAGGTACATGAGGCAGCCAACAAGCTCTGGGTACGGGCCACTCGACTCTACGGACTCATCCGAAGGCAGAGCTGAGAGTGAGTGGCGAGTAGACAGAGGAGTGGCCTGAGGCGAGGAGTACGTGAAGCCGAAGCGCTGAAGGACCTGCTGCACCATGTGTGACTGAGTCAAGGTGATGGTGCGGCGTGCTCTGTCCCGAGTGATCTGCAAGCCAAGGTAGCTGCGCAGTTCACCCAGGTCTGTGCACGTGTGTCTCTTCAGTAGCTCGGACTTCACGTAGGCGAGTCCAGCAGTGTCCGCTGTGGCAAAGACCAAGTCGTCGACGTACACGAGGATGTAGAACGGCGGCAGTGAAGTGTCGGTGCGCAGAAACAGCGACGGGTCAGCAGTAGAAGGAGCAAACCCAAGAGCCGCAAGCGTAGTCCTCAGTGTGTCGTGCCACTCACGCGGTGCCTGGCGAAGACCGTAGACTGGCCGTTGGAGGCTCCACTGGGTGCCAGGAGGGAAAGTCCCAGTGAAGCCAGGTGGACGGCGCAGCCAGATCTCCTCGTGCAGGCTACCCTGCAGGAACGCAGTGCTGAAGTCGAGAGAGTGAAGCTCGTAGTCGCGCTGAGCGGCTATGTGCAGCAGCACCCGAAGAGTGGTCATCTTCGGGGTGGGAGAGAAGGTCTGAAAGTAGTCAACTCCCTGCCGCTGGCTGAAGCCACGAGCAACGTACCGCGCCTTGAAGACAGGTGGAGAGCCCGGCGGCCGCTTCACCCGGAAGATCCACATGCCACTGACGATGTTCGCCCCAGGAGGGGGAACTGCGTCAACGTAGGTGCCTGTGGACTTCCAGGAAGCCATCTCTGCATCCATAGCTGCCTGCCACTGAGAGGAGTAGGGACCCTCTACGGCCTCCGCGTAAGAGCGCGGAGTCGGGATGTCTAGTGCATCCGGGTCTCCCTCAGGAGCAAGCAGTACAGACGCGAGATGAGGTGAAGCAGCAGCCAGACACTGTAACTCCTCCTGCCTGTCCTCTAGGACGTCCGTGCCAAGAGCACACTCACCCCCGACGGACGGAGGACAGACAGACGCAGACTCAGCAACAAGACTAGCAGCGTAGTCTAGACGACAGCGAGCAGCAAAGTCGACGAGCTCAGTGACAAGAGCAGACGCAGCAGTGGACTCAAACGAGGGGTCAGTGACGACAGTAGCAAGCAGACGCGTGACAATAGGACTGGCAGCATGAAGAGAGTCCGACTCAGGGTCGGCAAGCGCAGGAAGAGAGGACTCAGGAGGAGAAGGCAAAGGGGCACGCAGAGGAGCAGTGGACGGACGCAGAGACATCCGGTGCGTGCCAGGGACAGGAGGAGGACGCTGACACGAACCGCGACCACTAGCGCGAGCAGCACGAACAGGCGACGCGGGACGAGACGCAGGCTCACGACGCTCAGTAAGACCTCCAGTAGGACCAGTGTAAGGAGAGGGAGCAGGCAAAGGAGAGGAAGGCTCCAACAGTGACTGCGATTGGACAGGCTGTGGACACTCTACCGGAGGAGAAAGACCAAGAACCTGCTGCAGGAGCGGAACGAAGTACGGCCGAGGCCGCGCGGCAGCTCCAGACTCAGCAGAGACAGCACCAGCACCCTCAACGATAGCACCAGCGCCACCAACACCTCCAGCGGCAGGACCTCCAGCAGTACCAGCAGCAGAACCACCGCGAGGACAGACAGCAGTGGTCTCAGCACCAACACCCTCAGCAGCTCCAGCTCCAGGAGGACCCGCAGGCCCAGCAGCTCCGGGACCGGCAGCACCAGCACCCTCGACGGTCGAAGAAGCTCCAGCTCCAGCAGCACGCCTCCAGCGGCGAGCAAACCACTCGCGCAGCTCCTGTGGAGAGAGGGGCTCCCGTCGAGACGCAGCAGCAGGAGAAACCCCAGGCTCAGCACCCCTAGGCTCAGCAGCTCCCAACTCAGCACCCCCAGACTCAGCAGCTCCAGGCACAGCACCCCCTGGCTCAGCACCCTCCGCAGTAGTACCCCCAGGCCCAGCACCCCCAGGCTCAGCACCCCTAGTAGCAGCACCTCCAGGCCCGGCACCCCGCGCACAGCACCCCCAGAGTCAGCACCCCCAGGCTCAGCACCCGCAGCAGCACCAGAGTCACCAGTAACCTCGACCGGGTCAACTGCGTCTACCTGGGACACACCTGAGGGGGCAGGAACCTGAGGGGGGAGGGGGTCTACCGGGGGGGGAACCGGCACAAGGAAGTCCGGCGAAGGGGGGAGGGAAGGAGTGCGGTAGGGGAAGAGGCGGTAGAAGGGGACTGACTCGTCGAACGTGACGTCCTGGGAGGACAGAACACGACGAGAGGAGGGGTGGTAAAACTGCCACCCTGGAGCGTCAGTGGGGAAGCCAAGGAAGATACAGGGAGCAGCACGAGGGGACAGCTTGTCCGCAGACAAGTCGCGGACAAACGCCCGAGATCCCCAGACACGGAACGCCGACGCATCGCCAACCTTCCCCGTCCACAGCAAGACTGGGGACATCGCGGGCCGAGAGACCCTGGGGTGAAGGTTGAGCTGATGCGCCGCGTACCTCACCGCAAACGGCCACAGAAAATGGGGGGCAGCCGCATGCATCATGGACGTACGAGCGACATTCATGACCATGCCAATGCGGCGCTCAGCAATCCCATTTTGCTGTGGAGAGTCCGGAAGCGTGAAGGTCTGGCGGATCCCCCGTGCACGACAGTAGTCTCGCAGAAGGCGCGAGGAGAACTCTCCGCCTCTGTCCGAGTGCAGACGCAGAACAGGAAAGTCCGAGCCGAAGCTCTTCCGAGCTGGAGACGACCCTCGCGGATCCACTCGATCAGCACCTCAGTGACAGCACCCTTGCTGCGCAAGGGGAGGACTGTGGTGTAACGCGAGTAGTCGTCAACCACCAACAGAAAGTAGCGCTCGTGACCCTGCCCACGGACGGGGGCTGGGCCCCACACGTCCATGTGAAGCGTCTGCAGAGGAGCCTCTGTCGGGGGGAACTGGGAGGAGTGAGGAGCAGCCCGGAGGCGACCCTCGACACAGGGGACACAGGAAGGTCCTGGCCCGGAGGGAAGGGAGGGAGAGACTGGGGAAGACCAGAGACAAGGACACGGGAAGCCATGCTCCGAAGACGGGGCAAGGAGGGGTGGCCAAGACGGTGGTGCCAAAGGAGAGTCTCGTGAGACAGGAGGCGACAAGAACAGGGGGCAGACTCAGGACCTGACCGGGACGCAGCAGCAAGTACCTGACCTGACGCAGCCACCTGACCAGACGCAGGGACAGGAGGAGACTCAACGGTCAGGGTGTAGAGACTCGACCCCGGCCGACGCGAGAACGTGGCCAGGTGTCGGCCTGTGCGTGCCTCCGTGCAGTGGGTCACCCGCTGACTCGCAGGAGTGAACTGGTGAACCCCCACATCCTGCAGGTCCGCGCCACTCACCAAGTTCGTAGAGAACGAGGGAAGGTACAGACCAGACAGGGTGCCCGAAGGGGCAGCCGGACACGGGAGGACAGTGGAGAAGTGAGAGAGGACAGGACCCCCAGAGGGGTCAGCCAGGGAGACGGCAACCGGCCGGCCAAGCGGCGTAAGGGTGGTGCGGTCTCGAAAGAAGGAGCGAGAAGCCCCAGAGTCAAGTGTGAAAGTAAGGGAGGACGAGGACGACGCAGTACCTGAGAGCGCAGTCTCACCAGTACCTGAGAGCGCAGACGCACTTGCACCTAGAGCAGCAGCCTCACAAGCACCTAGCGCAGCAGTACAATGCCCGGGTCGGGCTGGAAACACGGTAACCCTCAGTCTCCTCACTATAGTCACAGCATACATAGCAGCAAGGATAGCATCAAAATCAAGATCAAAGATCGCTACACCAGCCCTAAGAAGCTCATCCCAGCGAGGGATCTCACTAGCCCCGGGGAACTGCTGACGCCAAGCGTCCGTCAGGCGGCCAAAACAGCGCTGAGTGGGGTGGGCACCCCCACACTGCTCACCCGCGCGGTCGCCGGAACGAAGGACGTAGGTGCAAGGACCAGTACCCCCACCCCTCTGACGCTGAGTGTACCACTCACGAAGCTGCTGAGGCGGAGGGATGTCCCGCGAACGCTGCTGCTGCTGCTGCTGCGAGCGCTGGCCACCACCACCGCCGTTCCGCTGCTGGGTACCACCCCGACCAGCTCCACCCCCTCCACCACCACCGCCTCCTCCGCTGCCTCCTCCGCCGCCTCCACCTCCGCCGCTGCCACCACCACCACCGCTGCCACCACCACCGCCGCCTCCGCCGCTGCTGCCACCACCACCACCACCCCCGCCACCACTCCCGCCGCCACCCCCACTCCCTCCGCCGCCTCCGCCGCCACCGCCACCGCCCCCTCCTGCTCCACCCGCACCCTTGCCCCCTTGGCCTTGCCAGAGCGACGTCTCCCACTAGGGGCAGACGCCGCGCCGACTGACTCAATACCAAGCAGGTCGGCAGCAGCAGCAGAGGCAACAGAGGGCAGCAAGGGGGAAGGAGAGCACCCTCAAAGATGGGGGTGCGAGGGTCTCCACGAGAAGCTCCTACAGCGACTATGCTCTTCTCCGCTGCTAGGAGGGCCTTCTCGAGGACGTCGACGGTGAGGGTGGTGGGACAGACTGCGAGAAAGTGGTCCCTGACTACGCGAAGGGAGTCAGGGAGGCGTGCGACTACGTAGTAGAGAGTGATGTACATGGGGGGGGGGTTCTTAGCGCAGAACTCAGCAGGAAGGGCGGCGCGGTAGCGAGTGTCACTAGTGCGGAGGTGCGTAATGAGGTCAGCGACAGTGGGAAGGCAGAGAGGTCAGGAAAGAGGTAGGGAAGCATGAGACGGCTCAGTGCAGCAGTGGCAGGGGAGGAGTAGCGCGCAACTACAGCGTCGTACAAGGTCTGAGCACTCTTGTACTGACTAAAGTGCGCGCGCTCAGAGGTAGGGAGGTGGCGACGCACAGCAAGACGTGCAGCAGCATCGCGGGTGGCCCACTGAGAGCGCACAGTTGGATCAGCATCAGCAGCAGGAGCAGGAGAGGCGCCAGAGGTAAGGTCAAAGAGAGAGAGGCCGTCTGCCCTATCGCACTATAAAAACAACTGCAGGTCGTCTACCCAGACCTCAAAGTCAATGGCGCGACCCTCAGCGTCAAAAGCTAGGACACTAGGGGTAGCCATGACGACGACAGCGAAGCAGTGCAAGCAGTAGGGGAAGAGCACGCAGTGACAGTGGGACTGTGCTCACCAGGCAGGGCAGGCCGGGACAACTCTGCAGAAGGGCGGGCTCGGCGACTCAGCGACTCGGCTGCTGGGCGGCTCGGCTCCCGGGCGGCTCGGCGGCAGGGCGGCTCTGGTTCAGGGCGGCTCGGCTCCGGGCGGCTCGGCGGCAGGGCGGCTCGGGTGCGGGGCGGCTCGGCTGCTGCTGCTCGGCTGATGCTCGGCTGATGCAGGTGGGCGGCTCGGCTGCTGCAGGTAGGGTGGCGGGGCCGCGAGATCAGGGGCTGCGGGGCACGAAGGAGCAGGGCCGGCAGAGGTGCAGCGGCGGGGCGGGGACGGCGAGGCCGCGGCTGGTGGAGCGGCGGAGCCGGCAGAGAGGGCGGCGGAAGCCGCGGCTGAGCAGGCGGCTGGCCGGCGGCTAGTGTGGGCGGCCCGGGTGTGGAAAAAAAGAACGAGAATGAGAATGACTATGAACGAAGTGAGTACAAATAGGAAACCCTAATTGGGTTGTACCCCCTATGGGATACCCCACTATAGCCTACAGAAACAAGTAAGCTATAGTTCTGACACACCCCCATAGGCAAAGTGGGGGAGAAAAGGGGTCACAAGACCAGTCAAGCAAAGCAAAGCAAAGCTCAGGGTGGATCACAAAGTCACCACGCATTCCGAGCACAAGTTCAAAGGCCACAAGGCCAGTTCACATGCAAGATCATATATAGAGATATACAAGAACAAGAGTATATATATGCGAAAGTACAAGCAAGGTCAAGAGGAGAGCAAGTGAGGCAAGACAGGCACAAGACCCAACTGCGTGCAGCAACGCTGATGATCACAAGGCGCAAGTGCCTTGGTGAAGACATCAGCAGTGTTGGCCTCAGAGGCCACGTACGCAAGTCGCAGCTGTCCACGCTGCTGTAGCTCACGAGCAAGAAAGTAAACGAAGAGCAATGTGCTTCGTTCTGTGCTCCAGTCGCTGCTCTCGACACAAGGCCAGCATGGCCTTGTTGTCTACGTACAGGACTGGAGGAGAACGAGGCTGCTCTCCAAGGTCGGTCAGCAGGTAGGTGAGCCAGCGTAACTCCTGTGCAGCCATAGCCCCAGCGTAGATCTCAGCCTCACAACTGGAGCCGAGAACAGAAGACGAGCGGGTAGCCCGCCACGAGACAGAGCCGGAACCAAGGCTGAAGGTGTAACCTGTGACGACCGCTGCGTAGCCTGGTCGTCAGCCCAAGAAGCGTCTGCGTGCCCAGTGAGGACCACTGGACTGCGCCCTCCAAGCACTAGCCCCATGCCCGACGTACTGCACAAGTAGCGCAACACCCTCTCGCTGCAGCCATGTGCTCTGGTCGGTGTCTCCCAGGAGCAACAAAGCGTGCGAGGAATGCTAAGAGGGTATGCGAGGTCAGGTCGTGTGCAGGTCATCAGGTACATGAGGCAGCCAACAAGCTCTGCAAACGGGCACTCGACTCTACGGACTCATCCGAAGGCAGAGCTGAGAGCGAGTGGCGAGTAGGCAGAGGAGTGGCCTGAGGCGAGGAGTACGTGAAGCCGAAGCGCTGAAGGACCTGCTGCACCATGTGTGACTGAGTCAGGGTAATGGTGCGGCGTGCTCTGTCCCGGGTGATCTGCAAGCCAAGGTAGCTGCGCAGTTCACCCAGGTCAGTGCACGTGTGTCTCTTCTGCAGCTCGGACTTCACGTAGGCGAGTCCAGCAGTGTCAGTTGTGGCAAAGACCAAGTCGTCGACGTACACGAGGATGTAGAACGGCGGCGGCAGAGAGGTGTCGGTGCGCAGAAACAGCGACGGGTCGGCAGTGGAAGGAGCAAACCCAAGTGCCGCGAGCGTAGTCCTCAGTGTGTCGTGCCACTCACGTGGCGCCTGGCGGAGACCGTAGACTGGACGCCGGAGACTCCACTGGGTACCAGGAGGGAAAGACCCAGTGAAGCCAGGTGGGCGACGCAGCCAGATCTCCTCGTGCAGGCTGCCCTGCAAGAAAGCTGTGCTGAAGTCGAGAGAGTGCAGCTCGTAGTCACGGTGAGCAGCAACGTGTAGCAGAACCCGAAGAGTGGTCATCTTCGGGGTGGGGGAGAAGGTCTGAAAGTAGTCAACCCCCTGCCGCTGACTGAAGCCACGAGCCACGTAACGCGCCTTGAAGACAGGCGGAGAACCGGCGGCCGCTTCACCCTGAAAATCCACATGCCACTGACGATGTTCGCCCCAGGAGGGGGAACAGCGTCAACGTAGGTGCCTGTGGACTTCCAGGAAGCCATCTCTGCATCCATAGCTGCCTGCCACTGAGAGGAGTAGGGACCCTCTATCGCCTCCGCGTAAGAGCGCGGAGTCGGGATGTCTGGTGCATCCGGGTCTCCCTCAGGGGCTAGCAGTACAGACGCGAGACGAGGTGAAGCGGCGGCCAGACACTGGAACTCCTCCTGCCTGTCCTCAAGGACGTCCGTGCCAAGGGCACACTCACCCCCGACGGACGGAGGACAGGTGGACTCAGACTCAGTGACAAGACGAGCAGCGTAGTCTAGACGACAGCGCGCAGCAAAGTCGACAAGCTCAGTGACAAGGGCAGACGCAGCAGACGACTCGAAGGAGGGGTCAGTGACAGCAGTAGCCAGGAGACGCGTGACAGTAGGACGGCAGCACGAAGAGCGTCCGACTCCGGGTCGGCAAGAGCAGGAAGAGAGAAGCAGGAGGAGAAGGCAAAAGGGCACGCAGAGGAGCAGTGGACGGACGCAGTGACAGTACATGGTGCGTGCCAGGGATAGGAGGAGGACGCTGACGCGACCCGCGACCACTAGCGCGCTCAGTACGAACAGGCGACACAGGACGGACGCAGGCTCACGACGCTCAGTAAGACCTCCAGTCGGACCAGCGTAGGGAGAAGGAGCAGGCAAAGGGGAGGCAGGCTGTAGCTGTGGCTGTGACCGGACAGGCTGCGGACCCTCGAAGGGAGGAGGAGGAGGTGTAAGACCAAGAACCTGCTGCAGGAGCGGAACGAAGTACGGTCGGGGCCGCGCGGCGACGCTAGAAACAGCAGGAACAGCACCAGCAGCCCCGGCAGGAGCACCCACTCCAGTAGCACCTCCAGCAGCACCACCAGAAGCTCCAGAACCTCCAGCCGCAGCACCAGGAGCACTGTCAGTCGGGCCGCCAGCGGCAGGCTCAGCGCCAACACCCTCAGCAGGACCAGCTCCAGGAGAACTCTCAGACCTCAGCAGCTCCAGCACCCACAGCACGAGCACGGCGGGGCGCGCAGCAGCATACCCTCTGCAGCCGAAGAACCACCAGCACCAGCAGCACGCCTCCAGCGCCCGGCAAACCACTCACGCAGCTCCTGTGGGGAGAGTGGCTCCCGGCGAGACGAAGCACCCCCAGGCACAGCACCTCCAGGCTCAGCACCCCTAGACACAGCACCCCCAGGCACGTCCCACCAGGCTCAGCAAACCACAGGTCAGCACCCCCAGGCACAGCACCCCCAAGACTCGGCACCCCCAGGCTCAGCACCCCCAGGCTCAGCACCCCAGACTCGGCACCCCAGGCTCAGCACCCCCAGACTCCGCACCCCCAGGCTCAGCTCCCGCAGCACCACCAGAGTCACCAGTGACCTCGACAGGCTCGACCGCGTCTACCTGGGACACACTGAAGGGGCAGGACCCTGAGGGGGGAGGGGGACTACCGGGGGGGGACTGGGTACCAAGAAGAGCGGGGGTGGGGGGAGGGACGGAGTGCGGTAGGGGAAGAGGCGGTAGTAGGGTACCGACTCGTCGAACGTGACGTCCTGGGAGGACAGAACACGTCGAGAGGTGGGGTGGTAAAACTGCCACCCAGGGGCGTCGGGGGGGAACCCCAGGAAGACGCAGGGAGAAGCACGAGGGGACAGCTTGTCCGCAGACAGGTCGCGAACAA